CTGTGTGACCCACTGCGGCTCCCAGGGTTCCCTGTGTGACCCACTGCGGCTCCCAGGATGGTGTCAGAGAGGCGGGAAAGACGGAGGGGCAAAGAGCTTTCCCTTTGACTTGTTTTTCTTTTTGTCTGTCTGCTGGCTTGTTTTGATTTTTTTTTTTTTTTTGGTGGGGTTGCTGCAGGGAGGAGTAATATGGAGACTGGGAGGTGAGTGGAATTGAGGTGCATGATGTGACATTCCTGAAGATTCAATAAAGAAATTATGTTAAATTAAAAAAAAGAAAAAAGAAAAAAGGAAAAGACCGTTAAAAGAAGGTCTAGGGGCTGGAAAGATGGCTCAGGAGTTAAAAGCACTTGGTACCCTTGTACCAAGGGACCCTGGTTTGGTTCCCAACATCCTTATGGCAGCTCACAACCAACTGTAACTTCAGTCCTGGAGATCTGAGGCTTCTGGCCTCTGCAGGCATCAGACACATACAAGGTGCACATTTATACATATAGGCACCCACATATACATAAAAACATATTTAAATGTATTATTTTATACATATGGGTGACCTGCCTGCATGTATGTATGTGTATCACATATGTGCAGTGCTTACTGAGCCAGAAGAGGCCCCCAGATCTCTTGGAACTGGAGTCATAGGAAGCCGTGAGCCATAATGTGGGTGCTCTTAACCACTGAGCTATCCCACCAGCCCCCAAAATAAAACATTTTTTAAAACTCTGGGGAACCGAGGCTGGGAGTCCTTAAGAATCTCGCAGGAAGTCCCAAGCAAGAAACCCCCGATGTAAACCCAAGCCCAGGACTGCAGAGGCTGCAACCCTGACCCCTGTCAGGCCGTGTTCCGAGGTAAGTGACAGTCCCTTACAACAGTGGGTGGAGACTATGAGGTGACAGTGACACCAGCGGACACAGTCAGCAGGAAGCAGCGACCCCACAGGCTGCTACAGAACTGGTACCAGGTGACAACAGGGGCGGAGCTGGGGTGGCTGTGGGCAGTCAAGCCTGTCCTCATGAGCCTGGTGGCTTCCTGTCTTTTAACAGGCTCAGGGCAGCACCTGGGGAAGAGACTTCCGACGTTAACGTCCCCTCCCTCATGCAGAAGAGACAGCCCTGTCTCTGAAAATTCTACTTGAGATGTTCGTTTCTTATTTTATTATTTAGACAGGGTTTCAGGCTGGCCTTGAACTTGGGATCCCCTTGCCTCAGCCTCCCCAGTGGTGGGATTACAGGTGTGCACCAAGCCCCTTAATTGATAAAATTCTTAAAACCACAAAGAAAGAAACAAGAACACGAAAAGCTCCTTACCGAGCCCTACTTTGATATAATAATATAAATACACATACTTCCGGAAACAGTTCTAGTATCATATGAGTAGTCTGAGGGCCTACAGTGAGAGAAGGTAGAGGGAGCCAAGAAGGGCTTCCCCAGGAAGGCAGAAAGCTGAGCCCTGACCAGGAAGTTTGGTGCTAAGTGGAGCTGAGGGAGAACCCAGCTTTCCCAGTGAAGTTACAGGTATGTCTGTGCGCTTAGCTCCTCCAAACAGGAAATTTCCCCTCGATCCCTGTTTGCTACACTCCAGCTGAGTGGAGAGGACTCTCCCAGAGAGCTTGCTTGTCTGCCCAGCCTGCTTAGTCAGCGGGGTCATCTCGAAGGACCGTGAGGAAGTGCTCACCTCCTTCACAGAGCAGACTGTATGCAGCCCGACACAGTGCCAGGCAAGGTGGCCCTCCTGGCTCCTGGGTGTTTATCAGAGGGAGGAGTTCAGCCATCAGAACCTGGGGACAGTACAGGGCCAGCCTCAGTGGGACCTCATCCCGGGAGTAGGCCCAGGGATCCCCACGTGGGCAATCCTGAGAAAAGCTTCCACCCTCCAGCATTCCTTTCTGAGATTCTACGCATCCTGGGCATGCAATGTACTTGGAGAAAGTTCCAGCTTACACACAGGCCCAGAGGCACAGTCTCAGCCTATCCCAGGTCCTTCTCCTCTTGAGACTAATGCTCAGGGGACCTCAGTAAGGCCACTGGCCCCCAGGAACCCAGGAACCCATCACCACCTCCTGCTCTGGAAATACCTTTTCTAGATGGATCTGCTGGTCCAGCATGGCCACTCGGAGCTTCAAGGTTGCCAAGGTCTGCAGCTCCTTGGTGTCAGAGTAGAGAAGGAGCTCAGGGCTCCAGGAAGAGTCTGTCTCTCCTCCACAAAGTGACGAGGCCTGAGTGGGCTTCTCCACAAGGCTGAGTTCTGGCAGCCCTCCTGTCGCAGCTAAGAGAACAGCCGATTGTGGTCTCATGGGGTGGCAGCCATCACTAGAATTTCCCTTTTCTTACAGACCGGTACTTAGCTTTCCAGGTACCTCTGCCCTACTCTCAATTGGCCTTAGCTTTAAGGGATACAAAGCCAAGCTTTTAAAACAATCTTGAGCTGGGTGGTGGTGGCGCACGCCTTTGATCCAGCACTCAGAGGCAGAGGTAGGTGGATCTTTGTGAGTTCGAGGCTAGCCTGGTCTACGGAGCGAGATCCAGGAAAGGCACACAGCTACACAGAGAAACCCTGTCTCAAAAAAAACCAATAAATAAATATAAAAACAATCTTGAGCCAGGTAGTGGTCAGATGATGGTGGTGGTGGCGGTGGCGGCGGCGGCGGCACATGCCTTTGATCCAGCACTCAGAGACAGAGGCAGGTGGATCTTGGCCAGGCCAGCCTGGTCAACCGAGTGAGTCTCAGGACAGCCAAAGCTACACAAAGAAACTTTGTCTCAAAAAAACAAAATAAATAAATAAAATAATAAAACAAACAAACAAAAACAAAACAAAAAAGCCAACCTAGCGTGTGGCAGGCTATGGTATGTTTGGTGTGATGGTCACCTCTGGCCCTGGCTGGTGACTCCAGTCATAGCAAGGCAGGTAAAAGAGCCTTGACCCCGGTTCAGACCTCAGCGCAGGTCGGGGGGTGGGGTGGTGGGGGTGGGGGCAGAACCTCACCTGCTTGCAGCGCCTGTATCCTGTGGAGACACTGCCCAGCCATGGTCCGCAGTCCTTCCAGGACGAGCAGGCATCGGTACTCCTGCATCCAGTCAGCGGGGGCTACACGATTTAAGGAGGGCAAGCGGGGGTCCATGATGGTCCCCCAACTCTCCTTGCGACCCCTGCCTTCTACCCTCGCCCAAGTCCCAGGCAGGACCAGTGACCTGCTGAAAGCTCCTTCTGCATATGAAGTCTCAGCAGTGTACAGGCCTTCTTCAGGCTCCGGGCGTGTGCCTCCACTTCTGCAGCACCAGGTCTGTGGCTGGAGCAGCCCGACTGCACACTAGTCAGGGAAACCGTCCTGTGGCCAGACCCTACCCTCCCACCAAAGATGGGTTTGGAGAGGTGCCACTGCCATGCCACAGCGTCCCTTCCCCAAACCTGTCAGGTTTAGAGCCAGAAGTCCCCGGTCCTTCCCTGCCAGTAAGGATACAGCCACCTGGAGTTTGTGGAGGAACTGAGTTTTGGCGGCTCTGGTGGCATCTGTGGAGTCATTGGCTTCTACAGAGCTGAGCTGTGCCCACAGACTGAAACAGCCATGGAGGAGAAACAAGGTTATTTTAATTAATGAGAGTGGACCTTAATTGGAAGGGGAAGTGATGGACAGGGGCATATATCCCTGGATGTACGGCTTTGCTAAATGCAGTAAGGATATCAGAGGCCTCAGGGAACCTAGAGACACTGACCAAGACAAGTGGGCCGGGCAGATCTGGGCCAGGAACAGTGTAAATGCCTGAGAGGTGCCACCTGTCTGACCCTCACAGCACCTCTGTGAGACAGGGCCGTCACTGTCATTACAGAAGGAAGACAGCCGGGGATTCAGAGACCAGGTGTCGTGTTCAGCCCTTAATATTTGAATGGTTGTGGTTTGGCAAGATGACTCCATGGTTAAGAGAATTTGCTACGCTTATAATCTGACACCCTCTCCTGGTGGTATACTCACAGAAACACATACAGGTACACATAAAAACTAAAAATAAGCTGGGCAGCTGTGACACACGCCTTTAATCCCAGTACTCAGGAGGCAGAGGCAGGTGAATCTCTGTGAATTTGAGGCCAGCCTGATCTACAGAGTGAGTTCCAGGACAGCCAGGGCTACACAGAGAAACCCTGTCTCAAAAAACCAAACCAACCAACCAACAAAACCCCTGAGTGGTTGAACTGGGGCCTTCAAAGCTGCAGAGCCTGAGCTGACTCTACAGCTCCAATGAAGCCGATTCTCGGCATGCACAGGGACCCAATAAGGCAAAAGCAGAGACCCGCTGGAGGGTTTTGTTTGCAAGTCCCAATGTAAGTGATGTTTTCCCTGTCTCTCAGGGCCCACTCAGCCGTACCGGGAATTCTGGGAAGCTGCCTTCCTGAAGGCCACAGGTAGTTGCAGGAGGGTCCTGTTAGAGAGAAGCCAATGTTCAGAGCAGCCTCTTCTCAGTCTAGGGCTGTCATTCTTTCTTTCTTTCTTTCTTTTTTTTTTTTAAAGATTTATTTATTTATTATGTATACAGGAGAGGGCGCCAGATCTCATTACAGATAGATGGTTGTGAGCCATCATGTGGGTGCTGGGAATTGAACTCAGGACCTCTGGAAGAGCAGTCAGTGCTCTTCACCTCTGAGCCATCTCTCCAGCCCAGGGCTGTCATTCTTATTCCTGGCTCAGAGCCCATTAAGGTGAACCTCCTCGACCCCCCTCCTTTCTATCTGAACAGACAGAGAAGGCAGTTTCTCCAGTGAGGGTCTGGGAAGCTCACCCCTTCTCCTTTAGTGTGAAGAGTTCTGTGGCGGGAGGAACAGCGGATGGGGCCATCTGTTGGTCCCTGAGGCCTGGTCCAGACCTGGTAGCTTGGGTTCCTGTTCTCACGTGGGTCCTATCTCCCCTCGACAGAAGTCTGCACTCAGGGTAGTCCTTGGCAGGGGCTGTGGCCCGTTGTATGCCGCCGGTGGATCTTGCACCTGATGCACGGCTGCCAGCCTGGCTGGGGGCCTGGGAATGGACTGGGGCAGCGGCACCAGAAGTGGCTGCATTAGATGCAGATGTCAGGCTGGGGGTTCGGTCTCTTTGTCCAGCCTTAGACACGCCTTTCCTCACTCGTACAGCCTTCTCCAGCGCCTGGGTCAGAAGCTCCAGTTCCTTGAGGTCTTGAGCACTCGTGCATGCTGTAAAAGTCAAGAACCATGCAAAGGTTCCTCGTCACTGTCCCATGATGGATCCCCCATGACAGCATGCCAGAGAAAGGCCAGGGGCAGCACGCGGAAAAAGCAGCTGGGGTTTACCTGGAGTTGGGACCTCTTCCTTGGTTTCTGGCTCTGGAGCTGGGGTCCTGGCTGGTTCCCTGCAAAGACAGGGCAGCCATGGCGTGGCCCGAACAGACCCTACCCCTAAGCAGATCCCCAGCCTCAGTCCCTGCAGGATAAGGGGAAGGGATAGCAATGGCAACCGGCCTCCGAAGTGTGCTGTTGCACTTGGCCTCCCAGCCCCTGGGGCTCTGCATAATTCCGATGGTCCGAGGAGGGCCTGGCCAGGAGGTCCCCAGGTCCGCGTACCAGACTTGCAGCAGCCGCCTGGAAACGCGTAGGCTCCGCTCTAACTGCCGCTGCCTCTCGGCGCAGGAATCCAGGGCGCCCTGCACCTCCGCCACTAGCCTGAGGACAAGCACCATGTGAGCCTCGGAACCCGGCGCCCGCCCGCCCCATTCCCTCTAGTCGCACGAGACCCACCGGCGCGAGCAGTCGGTGGGTAGTAGGCAGTCTGCTCTAGCACCAAGCATTTTTGCCGCCGCCACGGAGTCCCGCACCTTCCGGGTAGAAGGCCGCCCACTTCCGGCTAGGCTACCCAATCTTGAGCGCAGCGAGCAAGATTTGCTCCATAGTGCGAACCACCTCGTCAAACAGGCTCCGCCCTAATCCCGCCCCCCGGAGGCTCTGTTGGAATCTCGATAAGGAAGCCGGGGTAGATGAAGGCTCGCTTGCTTCTGGTTTGGGTAACGAGATCATGGTCTTCGGGTGGGGCATCCATGACCCTCTTATGTTTGGTTTTCTGTCTTAACCAGTTTTTGTCGAACCTATTTTGAAAGCAGAGATCAACTGTCTTGCTGACTCCCGGGTCACTTAGCCGTCAAGCACATGGATGAAAGATGATGTTTTAGAAGTGGGTCAAAGGACAGGAAGCATGGGAATGAATGTCAGATAGGTACCAGGACAGAGCAACGAAGCCCAGGAAATCTGGAGCATGTGGCACCTAGATGGGTCTGCCAATCTGGCCTAAGTCATGGCAGGTTGAGACAGGGACAGATGAGGGAGGGATAATTGGAGGGGAGGCTGAGGCCCAGACAATGGCGGAGCTGTTAGGAACAGCAGGCAGAAGACCACATCCCACACTGCAGCTAAGGCCCAGCAATGGTCTGTGCCCACAGATTTGCGAAGTCAGGTCAACTTTCACTTCGTGTTTCATATTGAAAGCTCTTTCTGTACCATCTACTGCATTAGTATATTTCATTTTAAAACTCGTGATGTAGACTAGGCTGGTCTTGAACTTATAGAGATCTGATTCCCAAATGTTGCTTATTTATTAAAATATATATATATATACATACATACATACATATATACATACATATACATCAGTACACTATTCTATATTCTCAATTGAGTCAGAATGTATGTGAAGCAGGATCTCATGTAGCCTAAAATTCACTATGTAGCTGAGGAAGACCTTGAACTCAACTCATGATCTTCCTGCTTCCATTTTTTTAAAAAACTTTTTATGAGCCAGGCAGTGGTGGCGCATGCCTTTAATCCCAGCACTCAGGATGCAGAGGCAGGTGGATCTCCTGAGTTCGGGGTCAGCAAGGGCTGTTACAGAGAAACCCTGTCTTGAAAAACAAAGCAACAAAACCCTTTTTATGTGTATGGGTGTTTTGCCTCCACAGATGTCTGTGTAGTCTGCATGCCTAGTGCAATGGAGACCAGAAGAGGGAACTGGATCTCCTGGAACTAGGGTTATAGGCAGTTGAGAGCCACCATGTGAGAGTGAGAATTTGAATCCAAGTCCTCCTTCTAGAGGAGCAGCAAATACTCCTGATCAGTGAGCCATTGCTCCAGCCCTCCCCGCTCATCTCTTAAGTGCTAGAATTATAGAAACATGCCACTAGACAGAGCTTTTAGATCTCTTTAAAAAATATTTATTTATATATTTTATGTATATGGGTACTTGGTCTGCACGTACACCAGAAGAGGGCATCAGATAGTCGTAAGCTGCCATGTGAGCTCTGGGAACTGAACTCGGGACCTCTGGAACAGCAGCCAGTGCTCTTAACCAGTGAGCCATCTCTCCAGGCCCTAGATTTGATTCTAAAGTTAAAAATGTGGTTGGTTGCTGGGAGAAGCGAGGACAGGCGCAGTACCTGGTAGAAATGGACTTAATAAATTAATCCTAGAGCCCGAGAGGTAAGGTAGCCCTGGTTCTGGTGTGAAGGTACAGGGAACACAACAAAGTTGTGAGTCCCCGTGTCAAGCAAAGAAGGGCCACGGGACTAGGCACAGGAACTACTACTTCCCACGGGACTCCAGCAGCCCAGAGAAACTTGTGGAGATTAAGACTTCATAGAAATCAGAGGGGGCCAGGTGTGCACCTGGTTCAGCTGGTAGTGAATGGAGACTTTAAAAATTCTTAGATTGATTTTTATTGCATGTGTGTGGCCTGTATGTATGTATGTTTACCACATGTACACATGGTGGTACAGAGGTCAGATATCCTGGAACTGGAATTTAGGGTGGTTGTAAACCACCATGTGGGTGCTAGGAACCAAAACCAGGTCCTCTCCATGAGTAACAGGTGCTCTTACAGGGAACCATTTCTACAGCCCCAGTGAGTTGGGATTTTGACCAGGGACACCATGGACAAGATGGGAGGCAGATTGCTTATATCACGAGTCTCTTCACATTTAATCCTCACAACATTCCTGTGAGGTAGGTATCACTGTCCCCTTACAGCCGAGGAAACAGGCTCACACACCGGCGAACACAATGGTGTCGGACTACAATCCAAAGGCTTGGGCTCTCCTACCAACATGCCCCAGCCAGAGTGGTTAGGATTCTGCTAAGAGTATCAAAAAGAGCTGCCACTGCGGACAGCACAGAAGATGAACACTGAGCTCACCCCTTCTCCACCTGTACTTTTGGCTCAAGGGTATTTGGGGGGCACTTCTGATACTTTTTTCAAGAGGAAACAGAAGTATACATGCAGGGTCAGCCTATCTACTCGGCCTTCAGCAGGATCCCCAGGTGTCGAGGCCAGCTGCCTTACATGGGAAGCAGACATTCCTGAGGTCTCTGACCAGCACAAAAGGACCGGTGACCTACTTTCTTCACGTGGAATCTGGCCATAAACGAGAGAATCCGGTGAGCTGCTTTCTTCTTGTGGAATCTGGCCATAAACCTAGCAAGTCCAGTGATCTGCTTTCTTCCCGTGGATTCCAGCATCTTTGTTAATTTGGATATTACAATGATTGCTTATGGCTATCCTCTAGAAAGATTCATTTTTCATAAGGAGAGAACACAAAGCTAGAACCCAGAGGCTGGTACCAGTTTCCTTTTTCTAAGGTCATATGACCCAGCCCAGCCTGACCTGGGGCTTCTGGTCCTCTTACCACACATTTCTGGCTGCTGAGATTGCCATGATGAGTCACCATGTTTCTTTTCAGTTAAAGCTCAGCAATATTGGGAATCTGTTATCTTTTTATTTGATAGCCTCTATTTCAAATGGTTCCTTTTTTTTTTTTAAAGATGAAACCTAGAAATAAAGATGAGGAAAGAATGGCCTAGAAATTCAGTGCAGACAGACGGTCACATAGTACAATGGGGCACAGACAAACCACTCTGACAGGACAGATTTTGAAACTGAGCTCAAAGTGCCAAAGGGAGGAACCTTTAAAGGGAGGAATCTTTAAAGGGAGGAACCTTTAGCCCCAGCTTCAAGGTCCTCACACCTGACCATTAGGCTGTAGTCAACACTGATATGCAGGGACACAGGCTGAAGCAGGCAGCGATGTGTTCAGATGGCAGCTCCCCACTGGCCTAAAATAAGACACGCAGCGGGGCTTTGAACTGTGTTAGGCTCCCTGGGCCACTAGCATTCCAAGGAAGCCGCCAGCCCCTGGCCTGGGATTGTGAACACCAGCACAGAGGCCCATGCTCCCAGGGACAGCAGGACACAGAGGGCAGAGCGATGGCTTCCACAGGTGAGGCCTGACGGCTGTGAGGCTCTTGTCCGAAAAGAGGCTGAGCTTTCACTGTCCGGTATTCTGACGGCTCGCACTGAACTCCCTGCTGGGGTCCACACAGCACCTGCCTTCAGTGTCCTAGAGATACAGCAGCCCTCCCCAGTAAACATTCACCATGGCAAACACTGACATGTTCAGAGCTTCAGGAACCCCAAGTTCGTGTCCTCATCACCGTGCACTGATAGGTTTTGGCGCTTTACCCGTTGATGGTGAACCCCACTCTCTGGGGGGCTTGGGGTACGACACTGTAAACATGACTTCTTGGCCTGGTGGTGGCCAGGCTGTGTGCTTGAGTAGCTGCCCACAGACAGCACTGAGGTAGATCGGGGAGAGCCCCCCATGCCACCATCCAGGGAACTCAGGGGACTGGCACTGCAGACGGACGAGTACCCAGAGGTCGTGATGTCCTTGCCCAGCTCTCCCCTGTGGCAGAGAAGAGGCCTGGGAGCTGGGGCTGGAGGTGCCTGGGTGCCTGGCGTTTGGTGGCTCCTGTCCTCTGGCCAGGCCTCCTCATCACTGGATTCCTGGCAGCAGTGTTGTTCTGGTTTCAGGAAGACCACAGTGACATCAAGGAGTCCACTGGGAGATGTGACTGAAAAATCGGGGGGGGGGGGGTGTCTTTACGGTACAGCTCAAGTTATCAGGAGTGACCCTACACCTGCTCAGGACGGGGTGGCCCCGGTATTGCTTAGGTGACAGCCACGGGTGACCTGGCTTCTCTCAAACTGGGAGGGCTGTCGGGACAACTCGAAGGGCGGCAGAAGGTGACTGGTCGGTCACCTAACTCACTCAATCGGAGTGGACCCAAAAGCAAGCCAATTAGAAAAGCAGCTGAAACTTGTCTGTGTCCGTCTTCCTGGCCAGTTTACATACACACGTGCGACACACTCAGTGTTCTACAGTCTGCTTAAGTGAGGCCCTTTAACCAGCAATGACCCAGAGAGACGGGTACAGGTTTAGACCACCCCCTCTCCCTCTGTGGGGTGGTGAAAACCCTTGACCCCAGGGCACCAGGTTCATATGCTTCCCCGCAGCACGGTGCCAGGTGGCCCTCAGATCCCATGCCACCTGCAGGATCCATCCCTCCACACCACTCACCGTCACCCTCCTTCTCTCCTTCACTCTCCTGGTCTCCTTCATAGCCAGAGTAGCAGTCCAGGCTCCAGTCCAGAAGGCTGCCCAGGAGCGTCTCCTCCTGGCTAGACAGCTCTGCGGTGGGCGTGGTGACAAAGCTGTCCCTGTCCTCCTGAAGGCTGTTCTCCCGCTTCCTGCAAGGTAGGGAAGAGTCCATGAGGCCCAGGTCACAGGCGGCAGCACCTGGGGAACCAGTCTGGTCCTTAATGCCTGCATGCCCCTGGCTCTCACCGTGTGTTCTGGAAAACACCCACGACACTAGCATAGGTCTGAGCCCTGAAGGGCAGGGGATCAACTGTAGGAAGAACTGGGTAAGACCAGGCCCCTAGTCTAGGAGTGAGTCCTGGCTTACTCTGGTCAGCTGGGGGTCCGGGGCCCCTCTGGTACCTGGCAGGAAGACTCTACTAGGGTACTAGATGCACCAGATAGGGCAGTGCTGGGCCTGATTGTACACGGCAGTCTCTCTTTCGGCAAGGCCAGCAAACCTGTCCACCTGGGGTCAGGGCTGGAGAACCACAGGAAGATCTGCCTCTGGGAGAAGCTGCCACACCCACCAGGCCTTTCTGCTGCTGACTTTAGGGTGAGGGTGGCTGTCCCCATGTTACCCTGGAGGTCTCTTCTGGAAGTCTGAAGGGGCTATGAAGGGTTTTCTGGAGAACAGGTCTTTAGAGGAGCCAGTGACCACCCCTGATAAGTACAGGCGTCTATCTAAGATTTCCCCAAGGGTAACCCGGATATTCAAGGGTGCCAAGTGCAGAGTAAGTGTGCAGAGTGGCCCTCTCAGGGGGATCCAGTTCTCCCTCACTGCACACGGTGGAAGAGGCTGTGGCGTTTCTTGTGTAGCAGGTATGAAAAGTTAACCCCTGACGCTGCTGCCTCCTCAGGTCCCCCAAGAGACCAAGGTCTGAAGCCAGGGTCCCCACCCCACCTCGGAACACTCACGGCTCATATGATCTGTACCAAGCAGCCACCCAGCGCCTGACCTGAGGTTGCTCAGGAGCACACAGGGTGTTGAGGAGTCACAGGCAGGGCTGGCCCAGAGGGAACCCTGCCCTCCGAGCTTTCCAGATTAACAGCTCAGGGGCTGAGGCGGAGTTACTCCAGGAGGCAGAGCCAGAGCGCTGGTATGTGCACTGAGGAACAACAGCACTACACAGAGCAAAGGAATGAGGAGAGGGGGCGGGCAACAAAGACACTACTCAGGCTACGACCCAACTCCAGCTGTGCCACAGCACGGAGCAGAGGGGACCAGGTGAATGATGGCGTAGGCAAGGAGAGACCCTGAACAGGATCTACTGTGTTCAGGACATCTTCCCTCAAAGGAAGACAGACAGTGCCTTCTGAGAGAGGAGAGGTGGGCTGGAACACAGATATTCAGGAACAGGCCAAGGCCAGAAACCCCTGGGTTAAACTCGGGATCTGCTGCTCCCTGGCACAAGCCTTAGGACGCTTGGACAAATGGTTGGGGTGTCAGGGAGGAAACTCAGACCTGACACACGAGAGCGTGCCATGGCATGGCTGCAGATGGACAGGGCAGACTCACCGTTTGCTTCTCCTCCCAGAGGGCGAGGTGAGGAAGGTGTGGATCTCCCCTGTGCTAGGGAAAGATGGGGGCTCTGGGCTCTCTTGTCTCACTCCGAGTGCAGCGCACAACTCTGCATAGCTCAGTACCTGTAGGGAGGCCAGAGGGAAGTAAAAAGGCTTTTAGTATATTCCGAATTGTACAACCCATTTTAGAACATTTTCACTCACCCTCAACAGAAACCCCACTCAGCCGGGTGGTAGCGGTGCATGTTTTAACCCCAGCACTGGGGAGGCAGAGGCAGGCAGATCTCTGAATTCAAGGCCGGCCTGATCTACACAGTGAGTTCTATGACAGCCCGGGCTACATAGAGAAACCCTGTCTTTAGAAAGAAAATAAAAGAAACCCCACTCTTTAGCCATCACTTAACATTTCCCAACTTCTCTGGCCCCATCTTCCATTCATTTTAAGTACTTTTAAACATTTTAAACTACTTTTAAGTAGTTTAAAAACAGCAAACCCGCCGGGCGGTGGTGGCGCACGCCTTTAATCCCAGCACTCGGGAGGCAGAGCCAGGCGGATCTCTGTGAGTTCGAGGCCAGCCTGGGCTACCA